GATGTTTGTCTGTGATGTTATCAGAGCTACAGTTGCTCGGGACGTAGGCAGGCACGATTAACGGTGATCAACTTCCCGCTTGGCTCGGTGATTAGAGCGGGGATTTGCTGACTGGAAGGTCTGTGTTTCGAACCCGACCTCTGCCTCTTGACTTCCCCTGTCTAGGTTTGGGCAACCTGGCAGCTAGGCACCGGACGATTATTTACTTACTTCGAGCTTGTGAGATTCCTTCACAGACGTTGCCAGATGAACTGCACTAAAGGGACTATCAACGGGTATCCAGGCAAGCAAAGTCCCTTCCGCCCGGTGACTTAGGGCGATACCATCCCCTGTACATCCTGTTGCAGGCGCCTCTGGATCACCAAAGGTGTGTAGGCGGAACCGACGGTGAGTGATGGGGCGATCAGCCGAGACGGCCGAAGTGGTTAGAGCGCGGAATTACTGATCGGAAGGTCCGTGGTTCGAATCCACCCTCTGCCTCTCGACTTCCCCTGTCTAGGCTTGGGCAACCTGGCAGTATCCCAGCCCTCGTGCAACCTTTGGGTGGCATGGCAGCTAGGCACCGGAAGGGTGCCACAGCTGAACGATTTTTTATCAGCTCATCCACTGTGCTTGTATCTAGAATTCTTGCTTCCTAGACACAGCACGTGTCTCAGTGCCAAGCGAGTCCAGTGTGAGATCGACAGTAGCTTGTTGTTCTGCCTGCTTCAGAGGGCAGACATTGAAGGCAGCCAAATAGACTCGGCGTCCAAGCTTGAAGATTGATTTCGAGGTGCCTGAGAATGTCGGTGTCGGATGATGCGCAGCTTTTGCTTGCGAAGCAGACGCAGGACGAACGGAGTCATCAGTCCTGGCTGGCGGATCTACAAGGAGAGAGCCGTTATTGGGGTGGGGAGAGGGGAAAGAAAAAGTATGTGATAGAGAAAGAAGGGAAGCGTCAACAGTAGACTGTTTTCGCTTACCCGACCTGCTGTATGCAACAAGTAAGATGATCTGGCCGATATCACCTGGCGACGGCCGACGGATGAAATCCTCAATCCCCGCCTCTGATTTATTCACCTCTATTTGGAGAAAGGAAACTGTCTCAGACAAGTGCTGAGGTTCGTTAATAATTCCCTCTTAATAAAGATCTCGTGGCAAATGCGATAACCACAGAACAGCTAGCTTGATTTCAGTTGTAAGGAAACTCTTGGCATCATTTGTCCTCCGTCTGCTTATGGAGATCAGTGAAATATTCATTCATGGACAGCGTGTGATTCCGGCTTGGTAGGGAATGCGTTGACACCACCACACTGAACATTGATGATGATCCCATCTTGATTGTAACTGGATCCACCATATGTGGTCTTTGATAGTTCACCGCAATAAGTGTATTCTTACTTTGGCCAGCTACCGATAAGGGATAATGAAACGAGTATATTCGATTGTTTGACGATTAACCATTGTCACTGATCCGGTGATGTAACCCTACCACCCACAGAGTTGTATTCCCCATCTTCGGTTGCCTTTGGGCTTAGCCCACTACTTTGAGATGCATGACGGACACAGCTACGTACCCACCATTAGTGCTGATCTTTTGTTTTTACTGGGATGCACTTAATGTACCGTGATCATTATCACTACGAACAACCTTACAACAGCAGTAAATGCTGGTGTACAGCTTCTCTACAACTATATGGGAAGAAGTCCGTGATAAACAGTAAAACGGAGAGAAGCTATGCATTTCTGTGAACTCAGCATACCTTCAAGCAGCGGTCCATCGGTTATCTGTTTTGGCGAGTTGGCTAAGCTTGACTTCAAATCAACAACAACGAAAACAAATCGATTCCAACTGACTGAGCGGATGCTTCACTTCCGATATCTAGTGGCCACGATGGTGGTCCTGTCTCATCCATCCCGACAATTTTTCTGCTGTCCTTCAGGTCTCACTTGGTTGTGTAAAGTTTAGAGGTGCTGCTCGAACGAAAGCAGAGGGACACTGGGAATGTTACTCTTACCGTATCCCCTCATGATGATGTCCAAACCACTTAACTCGCACGACGCTACGGCGTTCCCTAGAGGCGACACCCTATGCTAACCTAGTGACAGTGGTGACCAACAAACGAGCAAGGGCTTTTAACACAATTGTGGACTGCCGTAACGTCCTCATCTCAATGATTACATTCCCCGCCATTACCAGCTAGATATCCCATACTTGTCCAGGACCACGCTGTCCAGTTCAGGCAATGCAAAACCTTGTAATGAATATGGGTACCTACTGCTATCTCTCCTACGTCAGTGCAGTAGACAACTGGGTCCCTACGGTTTCGCCTTTGTCTTGAGTGACCATGCTCCCAGTTCGCTCATCCTGAAACCCCGTCCGTCCCAGAATTTCGGCAGTTCAATTTAGGAGCACCCTGATGAATACTCGAGGTTCTTGGCCATTGGTATCTAAGACACTCTCTGGACATTCGAAGGCTCCGAAACTGTCCAACTTGATGATTAGAGAATGCCGCTTCAATATCCAGAGTCTCAAGCAGCTATGTCAACAGCGGCAGATTTATTGATCTGGTCACGTTGCCAGAAAACCCTAAGGCGTACTTTGCAAATTTGTACTTACCCCTCCGCCACACCCGGAGTGGCGCCGCCGTCTTGAAGAGCAGCGAAAACCCTTGATCGCCACCGTAAAGTTAAATTTGGATGGGGTCAGCCTCAACATAGGGTACTGTATCCGTTGCTGGAATCAGAACTGGATCTCAATACGTGATCTCTTACCCTGTGACCGCCGTCCGTGCGCGCCAGAAATACCGGGCATCTTTCAAGCGGGCTCATCCTGTCACAGGAGACAGCCGACGTAAAGTAAGTAAGTTAGACGATATCGGAATAAGCACATGTCATTATCTGATTGAAGTAAAGTGTCATAGGAAGATCGATTCAGCATCTCTCGCAAACCTCATTCGACACAAGCTCAGCACTCAGTGACATATAGACATTAGCTAGAAAGTGTCAATGTACTGGCCAATGGGATCGGTGGTGCACCATACACCATAGGGTTTGCAGCCACGCGCTAGGCGAATTTTAAGTGACACCTATCCACAGACGCCCACTGATGCTCGCTTCTTAACTACACGGTGGTAATGTTGCCTCGATTGGTGATGAAACATTTGCAAACAGCTCAGCGAGCAAACATCGGTCCTACCTGAACTGAAAGTACATTCCTCAGTAGTGAATCCATACCTACAGCTGTGAAGTTTCCACCACATGCAGCGTAGAAGACCACTTATTTCGCCGTGCCATTTCATGACACTTGGGTGAGACAGCTCACTGGTTAGGGCGCGAATTTACTGACCGGAAGGTTCGTGGCTCGAACCCGACCTCTGTCTCCCGACTACTCTTGTCTAGACTGGGGCAGTTTGGCAGTATCCCAGCCTTCGTGGTATAGCAGCCAAAACACCGAAAGGATGTCACGGCTGAACAATTTTTTAATAATTTTTTATTGTCCTCACGCTGACCTTTTTACCAACAAAGATTTCGAGTAGAAAGCAAAGACTTTTGGTAGACGTTAGTTGGTCCTTCATAAAGCTTATCCCAGTTGTTTTAATCTGACAAGCTTTGTTTGTTGTTCAGATGATTTCGACTTTCTACTGCGCAATCGTTGTTGGACCTGCCGTTTGCTTTATTGCTGACATGATCCAGTCAGATCATGTCCATTGTGCTGCACAAAAATCCTTACAACAACATTTGGCGTTGTTTGAGGTCGAAGCCGGGCAAGCCCGGTCTCGGTTTTAAGGCAATGTTCCTTGTACATCTGCTTTATAGACATGGTCCCCTAGCATCATTGAAACGTATTTCTAACTCCAAAGCTGGTGCAGACTTGCGACTATTAGGGTGTCTTAATAACTCGTGCACCGACTTCATCCTTCACGGTGCAGTTGACTTTTGAATCTGCCAAGTTGAGTGAACCGACAAACAAACCAAAGCTCTTCATCCTAAAGTTTCAAGGGGTGCAACAGTGTCGACAGTAATGATACTGTTAAAGATAATGGTGATGATGAAGGGGATTGGAAATCCGGAGCTCGGACTGCATTTTTAGGACGCAAAATCACACTGCTTCTGGTATTCTGGACAGAATATGCTTTAACGCTGCCTGAATAACAAATAACAAGGCACGCGTCCGCATAAGCTCCCTGGTATCTCTCCGGATACTAATTCAACGCCCAGCTTCACAGCTCTTAAGGGTGTGCACTGTATGATAACCTCAGTGACAAAGGAACAGAAGAATAACACTGATGATTGCCATAGCTGTGGGGAAACTTTGAGGTAGTATGTGTCGAGGGGCCGGAGGACCTTTTTAGCCAGGGAAATCTGCGATTGTAAGTCGGTTGAATGCACGCTCAAACTGCGCAAACATGTGATACACTGTGACCATGTGGTTATGGCAATTCCTTGCGGATTGTGCCCTCAGCGCCACCCGACTTTCATTTAAGAGTACATGGGGTGTTGGCATTGCTACCATGATCGTTGGGTTTCGGGAGTAATCCCACCCACCCGTTCCACCGGAGGAGATTCTTGATCCCACTATCTCTGGTTTGAAATCATAGTTTAGTCAACCATCCTCGGGTAAGCAACGAACCACATCCAGTTTGTAGCACCTGACACCGACTCTCTTTTACCTTGATGGAAACATCGCCAGTAAGAGACAGCGAACAGGATTCCCTAGCAGATGGGTAGAATCTGCTTTGGCTTGCCTCGTAAATATTAGTGTAGGGCGTGGCAAGGTCGCGATAGATCTTCAGTGTAAAAGCAAACTAGATAGAAAGATCAAACCTCAACCCTAATGTTCGGCACTTTTACGCCCAGTCGTTGAGCTGCTGAATGCACTTTTTGACAAATGAAATGGGTGTTTTTGGTTCTGTGTTCACAGAAGTTCGTCCAGTGCGTGCTATTTTTTAGTTTAACTGAGTTTTATCATATATTTTGGTTCACGATCTGGTCCTACAGTTTTTTTAAATATTTTTCAGATGACTGACTCAGTGCACTCCATCAAATTGCCGGCCCCGAGGGAAGTGAGCCCGTTAATTCGAACAGCTCGCTGGGGTCTACTTGCTGTTGGAATACTTTATGGTGCGTTGCGTCTGAAATATCTCAAGTCTCGCGAAGTGAATATTCAAAAACGCAACAACATGCTACTGGCCAAGCGTGCAGCAGAATACAAGCAATGGTTTGAAGAACAGGCAGAAAAATCAGCTAGACAACTAGCGAAAGATGCTGGTATTGTTCCGAAGACCTAGAGCTATACCGAACGGCGGTTATACACATTAAGTTAGCACCAATAAAAACGCTCGAATAGAGAATCTTACTTCAGCTTTGGTGTTTTTTCATCTGTGTATACTCTGGCGGTTGTGTAGTGTTGCCAAGTTAATCGCCAAATTGTTCACACGGGTTGACTCTCAAAGTGATCTGTTTGGTCGGTAAGCATCCCGGGCTGGATCATCATGATTCAAGTGCCATGAAATCGTTTATTTCTTCGTCAGGAAACTGAATCTTATCGAGTATGGTGGCTGTTATGCTCTCGTAACCCACCGAATCCTGTAAGGAGAGCTTATGTCACACCTGTGGTGATTCCATCACCGGGTTGGTCAATGGGCAGTTGCCTGCCGAGCAGTTACTCAGCTTTCCAGGTTGGTTACGGGCAACGACTTGCTACGAACTATGGTGGTTGCACGCCGATCACTACTACGTGGATGACAACGTCCGGTTATGGGGTAGAGGTTTAGCAGCTTAGCATTTAAACTGAACGAATGTCAGTAATTACCTCGGTATATAGAAGCCAGCGCAACCCCACGATTTGAGGTTTATACAGAAGTGGTTGATGAGCCTCCAGTTGAACGATTCGACTTTTGAGGTTTGGTGCGCGACTCAGTATGGTTCATCCGATTACTGGAAATAGTCAATAGCTGGTTTCGTGCCAAGTTACATCAATCGGGATTTAGCAATTCGTGCTGATGAGGACAGAGACAAGATCCGGAAACCGGAGTACAGCCGGTCGCATTCACGAGCTTCCGATGAAATCTGTAGATTTGATCTAGTAGATTGTGTATATGAAGACGAGACAACCACATTCCTGTGCGAAGAACCATCTAGAAAGGCCCGTCCAGAGAAAAACAATACCAGATGTCGAGCCAGCGTGAGTTGGTCTCACAGGAAAGTAACTCTTAATAGTTTATTCTATGGGTCAGATGGGAAAGGGAGAATCGGAGTAGAACAGTTGGCAACAGGAAAAACGGATTTCAAGATGCAAACTAATCTCAGTCTATTCCGAAACCATGAGCCAATTCCCAGTCTTACCACTCTGATCGATCCGAAGAAAGTCCTGTAAAACTCGTGTTTGAAATGAGTGCGCGTGTTTGTTGTTGGGTTCTCGAAAGGGGTACCACTTCATTCCTATCTTTCGTTTCCATTTGTAATCGCTGAGTCTCCCGTACAAACCCTTTACTTCGAACAATTGCCGTGTTTCTATTCGCCCGTTTCTCGCTTTCATCATTGGACTGCATAGCTGCCCTCTGATTTGTCGACGCTACATATTTTCGTCCGTTCACGAATGAACTTTCCTTTAAGGTTTGTCCTCACATTCACTCAATTTTTTATCTTCAGCACTGCGTTCCGGGCTCAGTTTGGACTTGGTTGTCGCAAACATTTCGGCTGCACATTAAATCGGAGCCTGCTGCACAGGCAGAACCTAAACACCAAGTTTCGGTTTTGGGGCTGTTAAATCCGTAAACTACACCAAATGACTAGAATAGGTTATGCTCACACGGTATTTGCAAGTTGACGTGGATAACCTAAAAATTAATATTTTAGCCACGTCGCAAAGACCATGTATTGAACCCCGGGGACGGATGAGCTAAAATCCCAAAAACGGGGCGGTCGGTGCACCTATGATAGGGAGGTATACGCAGTGAACATGGACCTAATTTTCAGGTCGGACAGCATTGATTCCACTTACGTCGTATGCGGGCTTTCAGAGACGATAAGATTCGAATCCGGAATGCAACATTCGTGCCCTTACCGTGATTACAAGCTTCCCATAATATACAATCTCTGAACATATTGCCAGCGATCAGATTCAAAACTAATCTCCGGACGAGCTCGTTTTATAAATTATCCAAAATTTGGTTTTCATCATGCTCACGGAGCCTGTAAAGGTCATGGGCGATTTCATGAGCTTACAATATTCGAAAATATGGTCTAGACTTTAGCGCGATTACCGAGCATTCGTAATCACAACGTTGATGGCTTTTGATAGAGTCATTTGTTGGAACCCGAACGCAGGTGAATCGTGGCAGTTTGTGGTGCTGGAACCCAGCGGAATCTCTCGTTTCATGATATTTTTAAGCAACTGAATGTGCTGCCTCATGGTTCAGTTGCTATGATATTCGATATATCACGATACATTGTATAGACGTAATACACTACTCATAACGCTGCTTAAAACTCTTCGACGAAGAGTTTTGTTTTGTCTTTGTACACAGTTGTCGTTGCACTAAAACTCCTCGCTGTTTTTTATTCCGTACACTCCACCATCGGAGTCTTGTCCTAATTTTGATTTCCGAATCCCCGAAATTGCTGTGAAGTACAAAGTCGTGTTGGTCATTGGTGCTCCAGTTAAATTTGCTTTGATATTCACCTGGTGATTCAACTTTTCGACGGGCAGTGGGTGGACCGTCTTGAATTGTGACTGGTGTTCCTTCAGAATTGCCTTTAGGTATTCATCTGAAATAGCTCTGGCACGCACTCTTTATCGACCCATCAACTACTATGATATGAAAGCCTGTGGCGTGTGCATGCCCTGGCCTGCTATGATGCAACCATCACGAGTAATGGAAAGAAATAGTACGCACACATTTTCTACAGAAGGTACCTTTAAACTACTTTAATAACCTGAGGAAATTGGCCCTAGTTCTCTCTAATCATAGCAACGTCTACTAATGGGCCCCTTATCGTTAAAACCATTCTGTACAACTTACCCTGTTTTTGGCTGAACTGTGTTTTAGCTGTAACGGAAAGTTTGTCCAAAGTTGTTCTACTGCGCAGCAAAACGTGTGTTAGTAAATGTAAGAAAAAAGTCGATATTTCACTACCGGGCAGAAGTAATAACATTCCGGAATCGCATATATGATCGACTAAAGCATCGATCAGTTTGTGGGTTCCTAGTTGACAGGTCTCCGTAAACATTTTAGTGGCTGATGTCCGGAAACCAAAGGTCATTTCAGAAATCTTTTTCTCAGTTGTAAAATAGACAACTTTATTGTTATCACTGTTATCACAACTTATGGAAATCAGGAGTGATGAGAAACAGCGAACAAAATCGGGGACACTGAGTGTTCTTGGTTGCGCATGAGTAGTAGCTTTTCAAACGTGAACAAACGACGAAGGCTTCACCATCATTCTCCTAGACGTATTTGTCAAGTAGCGTTGTCAACACGAGGAACAGGCGTTCTCGTCCTGACGGAAGAGTCTAATTCAGGGACAATGTTGAGTTATCTTTAGCGCATTCATAACAATTACTTTTTTAATGGCCTCTATTCAAACTGGAAATAGGGTTGCGAAATTTTCACTGTCATCCTCAGAGGCTTATTCTGTCAGGAACTAGCTTCTGTTTGTCTTTTCTTCATGACTTAAGTGAATACCTTAAAAAAATCGACCCATGTGCATCAGTTTTACACTTTATTTACCAGCCGTTCTCTAGTTAAATTAGAAGTGGAAAGCATATTTCCTCATCAGACAACATCGATGTGTGTATATCTGTTTACCTTCTCGGTGGAGCAAGCTATACTGGTTGTATAGTGGGACAACTGTGTAAACGAGTGGATTTACTACTGATTCGACTTACTAGCGACAGCACTCGTGTATATGAGCTTTCATTCCTATCTTCAAAGTGCTAAAGTCTACCGAAACGAAGATTCTGGCCACAGCAAAAGTTACTAGTTTAGTGATTCAGTGGTGTAGAACTTTTGTTGAAAAGCTGGCGCTTATGCGTACAACCAGCAAAGTGACTCGCAACCAACCGCGGGTCGGCCCATGACTACTGAATTTCATTCTAACTGATATTGTGTTACATCTTGTCCATATATTTTCTCCCATGTAGAGGTATAAAACTGACAAACAGATATCAAAAAAGCCGCCCTAATCTATAACTGTTGTTTTAGTTGTTCGGTTGACTATACCTTTCCAACCAATTAGTCAATCTAATCATTTGATCCGATATTGTTAGCGCGCTAACAATGAAATATCTACCACAAAATTAGACTTTCTCACTTCGGTCAAATCAGAGTTCAAGTGATTCTAATGAAATGTGATGTCACCGTAGCTGACTTACAGACAAAGCCAGGATCTAGCATTAACCTCTGGCACCACGCATGTCCACGCATGCCTTTGGCTCAAAAGCCTAACCGCAAGGCAGCAGTGTTTGGCGAAAAATAAAAATGCATTACCATTTCTACGGAACAAGTCGCCACCTCTTCCAACCCCCAACCTGGGGGACCAGGAGACTGTGTTTCTCAGACCTCTAACCATTGACCAACCTGGTTATGAGAGACTGTGAGTGTCGCCGGGACGTGCCTTTAGGTATTCATCTGAAATAGCTCTGGCACGCACTCTTTATCGACCCATCAACTACTATGATATGAAAGCCTGTGGCGTGTGCATGCCCTGGCCTGCTATGATGCAACCATCACGAGTAATGGAAAGATAGTACGCACACATTTTCTACAGAAGGTACCTTTAAACTACTTTAATAACCTGAGGAAATTGGCCCTAGTTCTCTCTAATCATAGCAACGTCTACTAATGGGCCCCTTATCGTTAAAACCATTCTGTACAACTTACCCTGTTTTTGGCTGAACTGTGTTTTAGCTGTAACGGAAAGTTTGTCCAAAGTTGTTCTACTGCGCAGCAAAACGTGTGTTAGTAAATGTAAGAAAAAAGTCGATATTTCACTACCGGGCAGAAGTAATAACATTCCGGAATCGCATATATGATCGACTAAAGCATCGATCAGTTTGTGGGTTCCTAGTTGACGAGTCTCCGTAAACATTTTAGTGGCTGATGTCCGGAAACCAAAGGTCATTTCAGAAATCTTTTTCTCAGTTGTAAAATAGACAACTTTATTGTTATCACTGTTATCACAACTTATGGAAATCAGGAGTGATGAGAAACAGCGAACAAAATCGGGGACACTGAGTGTTCTTGGTTGCGCATGAGTAGTAGCTTTTCAAACGTGAACAAACGACGAAGGCTTCACCATCATTCTCCTAGACGTATTTGTCAAGTAGCGTTGTCAACACGAGGAACAGGCGTTCTCGTCCTGACGGAAGAGTCTAATTCAGGGACAATGTTGAGTTATCTTTAGCGCATTCATAACAATTACTTTTTTAATGGCCTCTATTCAAACTGGAAATAGGGTTGCGAAATTTTCACTGTCATCCTCAGAGGCTTATTCTGTCAGGAACTAGCTTCTGTTTGTCTTTTCTTCATGACTTAAGTGAATACCTTAAAAAAATCGACCCATGTGCATCAGTTTTACACTTTATTTACCAGCCGTTCTCTAGTTAAATTAGAAGTGGAAAGCATATTTCCTCATCAGACAACATCGATGTGTGTATATCTGTTTACCTTCTCGGTGGAGCAAGCTATACTGGTTGTATAGTGGGACAACTGTGTAAACGAGTGGATCCACTACTGATTCGATTTACTAGCGACAGCACTCGTGTATATGAGCTTTCATTCCTATCTTCAAAGTGCTAAAGTCTACCGAAACGAAGATTCTGGCCACAGCAAAAGTTACTAGTTTAGTGATTCAGTGGTGTAGAACTTTTGTTGAAAAGCTGGCGCTTATGCGTACAACCAGCAAAGTGACTCGCAACCAACCGCGGGTCGGCCCATGACTACTGAATTTCATTCTAACTGATATTGTGTTACATCTTGTCCATATATTTTCTCCCATGTAGAGGTATAAAACTGACAAACAGATATCAAAAAAGCCGCCCTAATCTATAACTGTTGTTTTAGTTGTTCGGTTGACTATACCTTTCCAACCAATTAGTCAATCTAATCATTTGATCCGATATTGTTAGCGCGCTAACAATGAAATATCTACCACAAAATTAGACTTTCTCACTTCGGTCAAATCAGAGTTCAAGTGATTCTAATGAAATGTGATGTCACCGTAGCTGACTTACAGACAAAGCCAGGATCTAGCATTAACCTCTGGCACCACGCATGTCCACGCATGCCTTTGGCTCAAAAGCCTAACCGCAAGGCAGCAGTGTTTGGCGAAAAATAAAAATGCATTACCATTTCTACGGAACAAGTCGCCACCTCTTCCAACCCCCAACCTGGGGGACCAGGAGACTGTGTTTCTCAGACCTCTAACCATTGACCAACCTGGTTATGAGAGACTGTGAGTGTCGCCGGGACGCCACCCAGTATAGCTCAATGGGTCGATGAGGTGCGCAAACCGTCACACCACGGTAAGATCCAGTCTCTTCATGACGGTTCATCAACACAGCTGTATTGTATCCTATTATATGAATTGAACCAAAGGAGATATCACGCAATGTGCTGAAAATTCGTGGTGGATAAAACGGCTCCTATGGAAATATCTCCACGGTAAGATCCAGTCTCTTCATGACGGTTCATCAACACAGCAGAATTGTATCCTATTATATGAATTGAACCAAAGGAGATATCACGCAATGTGCTGAAAATTCGTGGTGGATAAAACGGCTCCTATGCAGTGGAAATATCTCCTATGGTGTAAAGTCCTTATTTGTTAATCTAGTTAGGTAAGATTCACCAATGGGTTCTGAAGAGGATCTTGTCAATATCTGAGCTCACTATAACCTAACCTTCACACCTAATATCACTTTTTCCCAGAAGCATATGAGAGCGCTATAGGGGATCTGTATTACAAGCAGTAGTGATGCGAATGCGATTAGGCTAAATATCACAATTATCTATATGCAGATGGTCAAACTCTCTGACGAAACCGAGAATGTGTACAGCAGATATTGTTTTATGAAAGGTTGTATTAAACTACAAGTGGAGCTTGTATTTAAGTTACACACTGATGCTTCGAGTTAGTGGCCAACGATTTAGAAGACCAAATGATTCAAAATCCAGTGTACAGTTGGGAAAGTGGAGCCTTCGAGACAACCTCGTTACACTTTGGACAAATGCACGATTTTCTTCAGAAAGACTGCAGCCTATGGGGAGAACGGGCCTAGCTAGATGATTTGGTCGCAGACGCTTCAGAACCAACCGAGATTACACCATCAACTCCTTCGTATGCACAAGGGGCGCTGCCCCTGCCTTCCGACAATGTTCTTATTCATTTGCTCACCAAGCTACTCACTTATAGGGAGTAGTAGGGGTAAACAATTGCCATAATTAGCCTAACTAAACTTCTTTGACCACTTCAATTTCATCTGAAATGTGAGGCCGTTTTATTAGTCTTCACCGGTCAAGTGACAGTGCTAGGGAAGTCAACCTCGCAACTATCTTATGTTACTACCTATGATTTTCACCACAACTCTACTCCTGGAGGATGATATATATGTAGTAGCCAGGAAATAGATCCAAATGAAAATGAGACTCAGAATAAATAGGAATATTACTTTGAGCAGCTCAGGTAAGGTGACAAGGACTACCCCATGGTGCCATTTCATCGAGGGATGCTTCACCAGTAGTTTTTGTTTGGTTTTCAAGTGACTAGTCGAAATACGGTGCTGCTTACCGATTTTGCGCTACACATAATTCGTTCCCTTAATTGTTTATCCCACTGTAACGATCATAGGCTGTTTCGCATGCGTTGAAAAGCCCATTAGATCCGGAAGCACTATCAATACCTTCGTGCCTTCATTCTGAAAAGGGCTGGGTAACAGTTTGAAACAAGTAGCAACACTTCAGGCCGCTTCACTTCAAAACTTTGATGACCCATTTATTTGTGGTTAGACTTTGTAAGAAAATCACGCCTCACGCTTCTGGTCTAAAAACAGCTACTGGCTGAGTTCTCTAGGTCCATCTTGCTTGACCGTCAACATGAGTCCCAGTCGTATGGGTGTTAGGAATACAGGTTGGCCAGTTCAACAACCTCGACAGGCGAAACAGAATACAGAGTCCGAAGATGTGGTTTATTTTATCAACTTTGTTATTTTTTCGAATATGACAATCGTTCACAGTCCAGTTGTGGCAGAAGATGTAATAAAAAATAGTCTCAGGTGTGGATGCATCCATCGCAACATTTTCAATGCATCATTCTTACTAATTTGCTAATTTCGCAAACGAAACGCGGTGCTTCGAAAAGAATTTGACGGGGAGTTCTTCGTCTTAGTTTTACTCAAAAAGTGCAGGAGGCGGCAGCGATTCTGAGTTGCGAGAAAAAGGACACAAGCGGCCTTATATTTTGCGCTGGGTTTTTTGACCGAATTTCCTGTTGACTGGTAAAAATGCCCTGCACTCCGTAGACTTCTAAGACATATCCGTTCAATACTCACGCACTTCGAAAGGCATCCGAATTCCACCCAGTTTTCTGGATGCGTCAGAAGTTTTAGAAAATTCTCCGAAACACGGTTTATAACGTGGTGTCTCTTCGTTCTCAATAACAAGGAACTGTATGATCGTTGAAAGCTACTTCTAATGTGGCCAATGTGTGAAGACGAGATGGCTGAGTGGTTAGAGCGCTAATTTACTGGCCAGAAGGTCCATGGTTCGAAGCTGACGTCTGCCTCCCGACTTCCCTGGTCTAGGCTTGGGCGACCTGGCAGTATCCCAGCGCTCCCAGTGCTTCCTTCGGGTGGCATGGCAGCTAGGCTCGGAAAGAGTAGTACTGCCAAACGATTTTCAGATTTTTAAAGACCATGAAACTATGAATTGAGTCATTCCACGACGATGCATTGAAAGAATGCTACGGTCTTTCATGAAACTAACAGACTGGCCGTCCATAGGTTATCCGGAAATATTCTGAAGTTGATCAGTGCAAGCAGATTTCAATGAAACAGATAAAAGTAATCGTCAGGAAATATTCGGCTCATCCCATGGATTTGAGCCACAGTGAGGCTTTTACTATATGGATGATTAAGGTGCCTGATGTAGTTCTAACTATATTCGTGGTTGGACGCCTTCTTACGTTAGTAAATAGTTTTCGAGTAGTCTAACCAACATAGAGTTTTCGCTTGTTACATCCCCGTCTTGTGAGAGCAAGATTGTACCTCTGTCTTATGTGATAATGCTACTCTGTCACTCCGAACTTGAAGGATTGTTCCTGTGAGATCCGTTTTAGTGATCCAAGCTGTTGTGTTTAGCGCCGTGCCTCACAAAACTGAATTTGACTGAGGACATACAGGACATTTGAAAAGACTTCTACTAATCCTGAGTAAAAAGAAATGTTGTGAGGCAAGTTGGAAAGCTCACCTGCACCTCATTGCGAGGTGTAAAATCGTTCCACTTATTTTCACAATGTAGAATTACTTCACAATACTTTCAAACAATGGCTGCACGCGTTCCTCTCCGGTATGTGAAGGTTCCCAATTACCAGCGTATCTGATCTTTCCCTCCTTCATTAGTGTGTGCGTATTCGTTGTATGTTACATGCGCTTTCAAGTTCGGAAACAATGTTGCTATAAAAGGTAGAATTGTATTGGCTATAAAACTACTCCGTGATCTGCGAAACTGTCCAATCGTTAGCATTTCTTCACTAGTTGTTTCAACCACCCCCTCGTTTGGTGGTACGCTGTCGCGCAAGTCAAAGAACTACGAGAATGCGCGAAAACTTTGGGATCATTCAACTTTTGTTGATAGTATCAGAAGAACTGAGAAATTCCAGTCGAGTCCCTGCCCCAAATGTGAAATCAATCCATGCTGTAAAGTCAAGGGACACTGTGCAACGGTTTCACTCTTATCGGAAATCATCAGTAAAGCACCTCCACGAAACTCCAGGGAGTTTTGAATCAACGACTCCGGCTAGTAGCATGTGGCCGTGAGTGGTTTATCAACGCTGTGATTAACTCAGATGGGCTATAGCGCCACTCTATCACCGAATTCATACCCGGTTGTCTTTTGTTTGTATTTCCGGTTGTAGTGGATGGGAAAACCAAACAAGTCACCCAAGCGAGAACATGCTCACTTGTTCTGACGCAACATTTCAGATGCACACTCCTGGAATACTGGTAACACTATCTCTGCCTGTCAGACTATCTGTATTTGCATCTTTCCGCGGTTGAACACATTTCGTTCTGGCTCCCCGTGATGAATCGGATCTTAACTTTGGGTGCTGGTGAGTTCGTTAGCCTCGATACTTAGAAAAAGCCCTTCCAGGTTCACTCTTAAATAGCTTCAGTCTTGGCAGCAGTCTTAAAGACGCACTCCATTGATAACTGGGCTTCATGTGTGTTTGTAATTAGTCCGTTACTTTCGCGTTGTTCACGTCAGTCTACAGTACTTCGTTCTTCTGTCATCAAATTCACCCTCAATTGTGCTGTGTCACACACAGACGCACACACACACACACACCTAAATCTGCTTGAACAGAATTTCTAGAATGAGAGCGAAACCTGAGTTCACCATGGCTTATCCGGGGTATCTTCGTCAAGATATATGTGCAACTGTTCCAACAAGAATGACGCGCAGACACCAGGAATGTTTTTGATTTTCTTAATTAATCCAGTCGTCACAATGACCAGATGAAGCGGCTGACTCATACTCACTGATTTAACGCCTACCTTTTGAAACAGTCAGGATAAGAATTTTTCGCCGTCCAAGATCATGTGGGCGAAAACCACATACAAGCTGGACTTACGGCTACATTCACTCTAACATGGAAACCATTATGGTTTTGTGATAGGGATTGCATTGATTTTCTCGCTCCACCGAGTAATTCAAACCACCCCCTCTGTGATTAGATATCCAAGTCCCAGATAGTGGTTCCCTATGCCTGCTGGAAAATTGGGCCTAGAATGCAGGTCGGTGACGCATTTGGGAGGGGTGATGTTCTATTCCATATGGAAATGTAGATGACATCCCAACATTGTCGTCTGACGTTATCGGTGCTGTGTCACTATTTACTTACCACGTGCTTCTGGCCAAAAATCAGGTCGACCGGTTCGAGAAGAAATGGTATCGGCGCACCCAATACAGGTACGATTGCGGGCACCTTTCTTCGGATTGGTTTCTGTCATTCACTGAGTTTTGCCAATTAACGGCGTGGGTAATAATGTAAAAAAAAATCCAACAGATCCAGTACCCCTCACTCCATAATGTCACCTAGTATTTTTAGTCCCTCATTTGGCAATGCCGTCAATCGCTTCGTGTGCGTATATCCATCAACCATCTCAGACTTATTACGTCATACGTATCATATGACTCGGTGTGTGTTATCGTGTTTGTGGCGATATCGTGGGGGTAACGCATAATTTGTTGACCTTCATGTTAAATTTCATTTTCAAATTCTGCATCACTCCTGTTTTTACTTCAATGAACGGCAGCTGAAACATGTAAAATCCTGCGTTAAACATGTAGGGCACGCGAGTAATACACACGGATGAGATAGCATTCTAGCTTGGTCAAATACACTGGCAG